TGAAGACGTCGGAGGGCCAGCAGGGGGAGCGAGGGGTATGCCAGGAGGCGGGCGGTGGGGAGGCTCGGCGCCACTGCAGAGGCAAGCATAGCAGAGACCCTTGCTGGAGGACACACGTCCATCAAGTGTATATACAATTCAAATTCAGCACCATACACTCACAACGCACACACACCACTGACACCTTAGGTCCAACTCACACGCCCACCAGTCACCCAACAACACAACACACCAACACACCAACCACCAAGGTCCATCCATGCACTCTTACCACCGAGCTAAAAATCACGGCCACCCTCCCTCCCTCTCTCCCCCCAGTTTGTTTGTGTCTGCGTGTCTGCGGTGAACGCTATTGTGCACTGCGCTGCACTCGTGCGAGAATCAATCAATGAAACGACAAAGTCCCCCCCTCCCCCCTCCCCCTTCCCGCAATCGACACGCACGACGGCCATGAAAAAGACAGACAGACAGACAGGTAGACGGACGGACGGACGTAAAGTGGCTGGCTGATGCAGCAGTACGAGTAGGTTGGAGTATTAGTGATATTGCAGTAGCACAGCAGCCAGCCAAGCCATCGGGCCCCGAGGAAAAAATACGCACAGACAGACCAAACGCATCTCTGTTCTCTCCTTGCTTCTTTCGTTTTTTCTGCGCTGCGATGCTTTCCTTGGTGCACTGAAGTGCACTGCATCCCCCGACGGCCAGCCAGGCAGGTCAAAGGTCGTCCGTCAACGATGCTGTGACCCACCTATCCTACCGCCCAGAGACACAGCGCATACAACGGAAACGCAGCCCGCACCATGGTTGCCAATCCAACGAAACAGACAGACAGACATTCACGGTGAAGCGCATGGCACGGGTGGGCGGAAGAAGACAGACAGACAGACAGACATGGCGACATGGCGGCTGGACAGTGAGTTTGTCGGTGTGGTGTGTGGTGTCGCGTCACTCTCTAAGGCCTAAACACATCAATGCAATCCAATCCAATCCAATCCAATGTAATGCCATGTATGCAGGAAGCACCAACCAGAGACACATACCCCCACACCCATGGATAAGGTGGATGCGCACACACGCAGGAATATCATCAGCGCGAGCAAAAAGGCCCACATGGTGCACACCACCACCACCATCACGAGCAGCAGCAGCAGCAGCACGGCTAGAGGGGGGGTATGTGCGTTTGCAGGTCACATGAGGTTGGGGTGGGGGGAGGGGGGGGGAGGGGACACAGACGCAATTAGAGAGTGGGTGGGGAAGAGAGAGAGGTGCCTGGGTGGGCTCGCTACACAGTCAGGTGAGGCGTGTGACGACGGACAACGGTACAAAAGCAGGAAGAAACACATACACGTGGGTCGGGTGCGTGGGTGTTGGCCACCTACCAGTTAGTTACTCGCTTGTCATAAATCGGTGCCTGTAGACATTTCTTTCACGAGTCTTCCATCCATCCATCCATCCATTTGATAAGAGTCCGCTGCCACCCTCACCCGTGTTGTCTGTCCTCTGCGCCAGCCAGCCAGCGCAACTCGCTACGCCCACCCCGCCCTTGAAACGTCCAGCCCCCCTCCTGACTGCCTGCCTGCCTGCCCCGCGACCACGGATGGTATAAAAATGGGCGCATGGGTGGGTGGACCGATGTGCGAGAGTGTGATGCATGTGACTGACGGTGAGAGACAGAGAGAAGAAACATCCCATCCGGCCCCCCTCCGTCCCTCTCTGCGGGTGACCCACTCGGTGGCATGACCGACATGCCGGGCTGCGGGTATGCAGCAGAACGAACGAATGAACGAGCGAGCGAACGAACGAATACGCACCAAAAATCCGGTGTGTCACGTGCAGTGCAACAAACACGACACTCACTGCCTGGCTGCATCGACAGAAACAATGTGGGCACATGGGGTGGGTGGGGCAACTCGTGTGCGCCGTCTCTGATCCATCACAATAATAACACAACAACACAACACACGACACGACACGAACACCGCGGCACGACCCGACCGTCCATGAATGCTTCTCTCCTCTAGACTCAGCAGACAGCAGACAGACAGGAGGGGAGGGGGCAACGACAGACAGACAGACAGCCAGCCAGCCAGCCGACCGACCGTAGAGGTGAGAGCGCACAAGTGAGTGAGCAGATACAAATAGGCCCTCACAGCGCACTCACTCGCTCACTCACTCACTCATCCACTCACTCACTCACTCACTTCACACCACGCACAAGAAAAAAACCCATGAATGAATGAAAGGCTCCACACAACACGCCAACCGAGCGCACACACAGACAGACACGGTCCACCACGCATCCCCCCTCCCTCCCTCCCTCCCTCCTCGCCCTATCTAGCCATCCACCCTATCGACGCGCATCAGCTGGTGGTGGGCATGTGCATGTGCGTGTGGGTGGGGGAGCGGGGGTTTGTGTGCGTTGGGGACCGACGAACTTGGTGGCGGGAAGTGGACGCCCGAGAGGCTCTGCTTCCGGATCATGTCAAGACAGTGGGACAGTAGGGGTGAGGTGGAGAACTGGTAGGCCGCCGGGTCGGCCGTCGTGTCGATGGCCGCCCCCTCGTCGCTGTAGACGTCCTGCTCCGAGCCGCCCCCGCCGTAGATGGGCGGCTCGATGCGGCCGTACCCTCCCATACCCACACCCACACCGACACCCACGCCCATCCCCGACTCCTTGCCGGCTGCCCCACCCCCTGCCGCTTGGTCATGGTCGTCGTCTGTGATGTCGAGCCTGAATTGGCACTCGAGGTCCTCGTCGCCGTCGATGTCCAGGTCGAAGTCGTCAGAGTGCTGGTGGTGCCCGTGGTGGCCGTGGGCAGAGGGGTCGAACTCCTCGTCGATGCACGGCGGATAGTGGCCGTCCTGGCTGTCCGTCGTGGATGTGGGAACCGTACTGTGAACCACACACGAAGGCAGAGAGCGCAAAACGAGAGAATGAGATGGTCCGTTCTGTCTTGCCCCCGCGTGTCTGTCTCGGCATGCACGTATCGTGTCCCCATGTGTGTTGTCGGCTTACCACCTGCTCGACGGCAGCCTGAGGTAGTCATGGTTGGCCGGTGCCGACGACGACAGGGCAATAGAGAACCCCCCCTCCTCCTCGCGTGTGGTCTCCAGTGGCGCACCACCCGCACCCCCACCGCCCCGCTTGCCTCCATCGCCGTGTTGCTGGTGCTGCAGCCGCGCGGGGAAGTGCTTGCCGGCCTCCTCAAATGAGGGAGGCAGCTCGAACTTTGGCGGCGAGCCGGGAGGCTGGATTGGCCGCGGCTCGGGACGCACCGGCGGGTCCAGAGGGCATATGTCTATCGTGGCGGAACGGGGACGACCAGACACCTTCAAATGCACCGACGACGACGACGACGCCATAGTTACTGGCTCGTGACGACACGCAACGGGCTAGCAACGGACGGGAAGAGTCAAACAATGGCACCGGGGTGATGATATCTCGTGAAGAGGGTCACTCCATCCTTGCGGTTCTTCCTGACACCGGATTTTTGCGAGCTTGGATATCAGCTCGCTCGGCTCTCGTGTGCGGAGTGATCCTTTCTCTGAAGAAGAGCCGCACGTCAAGATCTTCCCAGCTGTGGCGATGGTTGACGAGACTGTGACATTGCCCCAGCCGCCGGCAGAGGTGGCCGAGTCGCCCTTCATTCTCCTCTGCAACGAGTGGATCCGATACACATCAGAGGCCTTCATGGCCAGGCAACAACAGCAGCAGCAGCAACAAACAGACAGTAAGTCAAATCCTGGCGCTGCCGCTGACGGCACCACCGACGGGCGGCCAGTTGCGGCGGGAGCGGGCGAGGGGTCTTCCTCTTCATCGTCACCATCATCCTTATCGTCAGCTGATGTTGATGGTGTCATGGTGGCCTTGGAAGAGATGGGCTTCATGCTGGGAGGGAAGATCGTCGAGAGGTGGGGCTCGTGTAAGGCAAGGCAAGGCAGGAGCAGACAGAACAGAGATGGATTGTGGCTCGCTGTTGCATCGCCTTGTGCGTGTGTGTATGGTTGTGTGTTTGGTTGTTGTCTTGTTGTGTGATGTGTGACGTGTGATATGGTTGTCTGTCAGGTTGACGGCGTCGCGTTCCCGTCTGCAGGACGAGAAGGACATTGTCAAGTTCATCTGCAAGGACCTCTGGAACTACCTCTTCCACAAGCAGGCCGACCGACTGCAGACCAACCGCAGGGTGGGTGGGGCAACAGACCACACACAGCACAGCACAGCACAGCCTTCCATCCTGCCTGCCCTCTCTGTCTGACCTCTCGATTCGCTCGCACGTCAGGGCGGTTATGTGATCCAGGACAACACCCTCCGGTGGTTGCGCCATATGCCGCCGATGCCCGACACGGCTCCGCCCCACAAGCGGCCGATGGCGCCCGTGTCGGTCATCTGCGGCATCATCAGGGGCGCCCTCACCCACCTGGGGCTGTCCGCCAGTGTGTCGGCCAGCGTGGCGGAGCCGCCCTGTTGCAGCTTCTCCATCAAGATTCCGTCATGATGCGCCGTCCGTCCACTGATGTAGATGTTGAGGGGGTCTGGGCGGAGGGGTTACACACAGACGGTGACTGCATTGCAACGGAACAGTGAGAGAACGGGTCTGTGCTTTTTCGGTGTGGATGGATGTTGACAGGCAACTGATGGATAAGTGTTGCATGTTAGGGTGCGTGTTTTCATGCTGGACACAGACCGACACGGGAGTTGGCCGTCAAGCCGCCTAGGGTGCTCCATGAAACTGCTGCCTGAGCTGCAGAAGACATACATGCTTTTTGCGTTGTCTGTGTTGCTGAAACTAGCTCTTGTGGCCAGCGCCCTTGGCCGCAGAGTGCACACGCCTGCGTTCGCTCCGTTGTCTGTGAGAGGCCCGATCTTGTTTCAGGCTCGGGGCAGAGGGAACGCTGGCCGACCGCAAGCGCTCAATGCCCAGTGGCTCACAGGCTTTGTGGAAGAAGTGAAAAAGCTGTTGCCTTCTCACGCAGGATCTCATCATTCACAGTGTGAGATGACGAAGAAACCACAAGAAATCATGTGTGTGTGTGTGTGTGAGGTGCAGCCTCTACTGCGCCTGAAGCCGTGGACACAGCCCTCGACGTGCTGGATTCTGACGCAGAAGCTCTGTTTCCCCCTTCCCCGCAGCGTGGCCCGCTGCCGAAGCTGACACTGTCGGATGCCTTCCTCGATCAGTGGGAGTATTGGCACGGAGACTGGACTCTCGGCTGGAAGTACACACACGCGCGCGCGCACACACACGCACTCGCCAAGCCAAGCCAGCCACCGTATGTGTGTCTCCACCGTGTGTGTCATCATGTCTGTCAACAGGAAGGCCTTCTCATTCAAGGGCGAGCAGGACGACATGAACCTGCTCTACTTCGTGTGGCCCCTCTTGATGGAGGTGATGCGGCTCAGCGGCGGGCGCATCCGCATCTGGCTTGAGCACGACCCATTCGGCCACCGCTTCAAGCACTTCATGATCGAAAAAGACGGAGAAGAGGCCGACCCCTCAGGCGGCCACCTTTTTCATCTTGTCTTCGGCAGAGACCCCAGTGTGACGGCGCGGGACTCCATCGAGAAGCAGCTTGCCGCTATGGACCTCCCTTACGGCGCAACCACGAGAGGCACCACCACCTGGTACTTCTTCAAGCACCACCGCAGCAGCGGTGAGGTCGAGAAGATCAAGAGGTTCTTCCTCCCCGACGAGCCACAGGAGGTGGTCGACTTCCTCGTCTGATGTCTCAACCAGGGCGAGAAGGAGACCCGAGAGAGGGAGGAGGGAGATGAAGAAAGAAACAAACGGAACAAGGACAAACAAGGCGGCCCTGACGAGGGCCTGCATACCATCCAGGAAGAGGCAGGCCTCGAGAGGGAGCTAGAGCACCAGCCAGGCGACTGGCGGACAGACGGGAGGCAGGGAGGGAGAGAGGGAGGGGATAGAGGCACAGAGGGGGGTCGGTCAGATGTCTGAATCAGTGAGTGCAGCATAAACAAACTGGTAGGCATATGTGTGTGTGTGCATCTCGCTGCTGGCAGTGAGATGCAGTGCAATCAGCCTCTGTCTTTTTGCGTAGGTGCGTGATTCGCTGTTCAGACAGAGGCTGGCTGCCTGGTGTGTTGTGGTTTTTGTGTGTCAGCGTGACAGACAATTGCTTGGCTTAGTTGCTGCTGGTTTGTTCGTTGACACACGATGCGCCGTCGGTGCACTCACTGATGTAGATGTTGGGGGGGGTCTGGGCGGAGGGGTTACATACCATGCAGACGGTGATCGATTGCATCACAACGGAACAGTGAGGGAACGGGTCTGTGCTTTTTCGGTGTGCTTATTCGGTGTGGGTGTTGACAGGCAATGATGGATAAGTCAGTCAGTCAGTGAGTGAAATGGACGGAGTGCTCTGCTCCCAGCTAACTTTACAGATGTGGCTGGCTGCTCTGTGAGTCAGTCGTTGGAGAGAGGCAGGCAGGGAAGCGGGTATTACCTCCTGCCTCCCTGCCTACCTTGCC